AGAAGAGAAGAGAAGAAAAAGAGGAATTCCTATATTTTGATGTTTAATATTTTTTCGAAACCTAAGATTCAGTCAAAGTCTTTATTACTTCAGCATATCTTCCTTTCTTAATGCTCGACTTTTCATCAAAGATCAATCGGGCTAAATGGGTTGCACTCCAGCCTCTACAAACACAACAAACACCGCACGCCTAATACTGATATCTCACTTTGATTGCGAGTGTACGAATATAGTAATGGTCTTAACGCGATAAGACTCAAGAGGCTCTTCTCTATATGATAAAAAGGCGCCTCGAGCTATTGTAATATTAGAGCATAGATTCTGGATTCGATTCCCGCCGTTTTGGTCTTTTCATATGCTGTAACTATTGCTTTTAGTGTAAATTGCAAAAATTTTATTAGATTCAAGGGTAGAATTAAGGTAATGTTACACGAGACGATATTTAGCGCAATATTTTTGTCTTACGAGTTGGCTTATGTAACATGGTGCGCGCGTCAACACAAATTAATAACCAAAATGTAGTGAGTTTTTGAAGGTCGTTACGGTGATGGTACACGAGACGATTTTTAGCGCAACATTGTGTTAAAAGTTGGCCTTGTGTAACATGGCGCGCGGCAGCACAAATCGATTGCACCAATGTTGTGAGTTTTGAAGGTCGCTCAAAAACCTGCAACATGTTGCCGCAACAAAATATCGTTAATAATTGTAACCCGTGCCATATTATACGAGAACAATCTTTTTGAAACATTTTTGCCGTCGTTGGGTATCGTCTCTTGTATTACCACCTTTAATTGGGGATTATAAAAGGACAATTCTTATGATATTTACTTAGCTATACTTATCTAATATCTTATATGTACTTATCTAAACTTATCTTATATCTTACCTTTATCTTATAATTATATTTACTTAGTTTTACTTATCTAATATCTTATATGTACTTATACAAACTTATCTTATATCTTATCTTTACTTATTTATAGTTATCTTACAATTCGAGGCTTTTCTTGATTTTGAGGTAAACTCTGAGCTAAAATGGACGAAAAAACGACCTAATTGATATCGGATACGTTCTTCGCTCAAGTCTGTTAAATATATTCAGCAAGACAAAAAAAAAAAAAAAAAAAAAAAAAAAAAAAAAAAAAA